GTGAATGTGGATGGGGGTGTGGTTGGATATGGATGTGGGTGGGTGTGTGGGTTTGGATGTGGTGTGGGTGTGGGTGTGGGTGTGGATGTGGGTGTGGGTGTGGGTATGAGTGGGTGTGGGTATGGGTGGGTGTGGGTGGCTGTGGCTGTGGATGTGGGTGTGGGTGTGAGCATGGGTATCGATGTGGATGTTGGTCTTTTCATTTCCATTATACCCACACCCACACCCACACCCTTTAATCTTATCCAACCGACTATGTGAAGTTACTCATCTTACAGAAGTTTCAACGGCAATTTTTGAGGATGGGTGGGTATGGATATTGTATTCGCATTACACTCATACTGAAAAATTAATTTTTTACTTCGCAAAAACTATTTATTTACTTAGCATTTCTCAATATTTTACCTAGAAACCTAAATGTTTTCACTGAGAATTTATATAAATTACTTAGCAAAAATAGAATTTTTTACTTAGTTTTCATTTAAATTTACTTAGCACTTAAATAGGTGCCATTAGAAACTAACTGTTTCTCAAACCATTGATATACAGTCTATAATATTCTCGGCGATATTCATCTTGAGGGTGGGTGTGAGTGTTGAAAGAATAGAGTACCTACACCCACCCACATCCGCTACTCTTACTCATGCACAACTTCATTCCCACCATCACTCTTCAAATGTTGTATCAAAGAAATATTTACATTGCTAATTCAAAAATAAACTTTCAATATTTGATAAAACTAATAATTGTTGATAAATATTCAATTAAAAAAAAATAGAAATAGATCTTGCAAAAGAATAGTAACAGTTCAGTCAATGAGAATAGAGGACAAGGGTAGAATCGGAAGTAGATACTTATATAGCCTGAAGAAAAATTCGAAACGCATCGCTTCAAATCTATTGTCAAATTGATCATTTATTCTATTTAAAATAAAATTAAAATAAATAAACTCAAAAAATCTTTTTTACTCTACTCGTTATTTTTATTTATTTCAATCCATTTATTCGCTCATTTTCTTCACTTAAATATTAAAAAAACATTAAAAACTAAATCAAATTAAAAGTTACAAGAAATGCATTAGTTTTTTGTTAATTTTCTTTTACTTAGTCCTCACCCTCAAGATAAACAGCATAGCTTGTTTTTTTTAGTAGAAGAATACAGTCTACGTAATTTTCTTTTCGATTTACTGCGTGTTTGTGGTGTATAAACAAGTAATAATTACTTAAAACGCATCACATAATTTTTTTTCTACTTTTTTTTACAGGATTTAGTATTTTGGCTATAACATTGTCATTACTCAATGAATTGGTTTATGTGTAAAAACAAAAACATGCATGCTTTTTACGGCCCTCACTGTATTTTCTTCTGTTTTTCAACAGTTACCTTAATTCATTTTGTTGAATACTTAGTGAAATATACAAAAATGATCTCATTCGACATTGAATATTTCTCTGAAAAGCAGTATCGCTTAGATGATAGAAAATCATGAGATGTTGAGGGTGACGACGGTGAGAGTATTTGTTCCTTGTCTGACCTATACCCACACTCTAGAGTGATGTTCATCGGTTATTTTCGAGTTGATCGCATGCAGGTGGTGATCCATTTGTATTCGAATTCGTATTAGGTAGCGTTTATCTGAGAGATCTGAAGAAATATTCTTATTTGTGAAAAATTTGTTATCAGTATTAAAGAAATGTCTATCACTTGAACATGAAAAAGATTATTTAAAGGCGGAAAAGATTAACAATCTTCTTCCAGATGTTAAGAAAAAATCTGACAGAAAGCAGAGTTTGATGTTAATACTCATTTT